CACACACACACACACCTCTCTAACCCTTTATGAATCCCAGCTAAACAATGGATTTCCTCTCATTATGTACCCAACACACAGCCTCTAGCTGGCCCTTTCCCATGTCGGTTTACAAATCTAACGGCATACCACAGCACCTCCCTGACAATGGAGACATTCCTAGAAATTTTAAATCCATGGCACAAATGACCAAGCATTTATAAAAAATAAACAATAAATAGCCCTAATTTTGCAAGACAAAAAGTTATTACTTTATTATTTAGCAAAGACAACGAACATATCAAAAACAAAACAAAACATATTGTTGTTATTTTAAGTAATGCAATGTACTTGTGCACTAAACAGATCTGATTTCTTTCAACAGAGCAGATTGGTTCCTTCTGGACAGCAGAGCTGTACGACATGTGGCTATTGGACTCTTCTGTCTGGGGGTTTCTGTCTATTTAATAGGTAAGCCTGAGAAAAGAAAAGAAAAGGATCTGTATTTTTATATAAGCATATGTTGTACCATCTGGCAAAATGTTAAACAGAACAAACACATAAAAAAAAGAACTAACTTTAAAAACATTGGCTGTGCAGTGGACTTTCAACAGCAGTGGCAAAACAGCAGTGCTGCGGTCTCCCTGAACCGACCAGTGAGTCCAACAGAACAATGCATTCTTTGAGCAGCCATGACTTAAGTGTTTTTAATGCTGGACCTAGCAGCGCTGGTATGCTCTGTTCCACTGAGAGGCTTGTACGGGGGGTGGGGGGGTCAGTGTAGGCAGCCACTCTATTGTGATGAGGAGGTGTTGCCCTTCTGAACCCACTTCAGCCACAGTCAATAGGTAGCAGGGCAAGACTTTAAAGGCAACGCCACCAACTTAGGAAGTCGCATCACATCCCAGAGCTGTGCTTTTCTCCCACCTCCTTCAGCATGCCTGAGTCCATTGTCCTTTTCCTGCAGACAAACATAAGAAACTGTAATATAAACTGTAACACTTATTGTGTTCTGCTTGAAGTTATTTGGCCCAGTAGAGGTGCAACTTGTTAGCTGATTACAGAGAAAAGCACTTGGTGTTTCTGCACATACAAATTCTAATTTTTTCCCCCTGCTATTCTCTTTCTTGGCAGCCATGTCCATTTTTATGCTCCTAATATTCGAGATGGAGACTGGAATCGCAAGTGCTTGTGTACTTTCCTCTGGGATCCTGATCCTGCTGGTGGCTGTAATACACGCTCTGGTTAAAGCTTCCCATACTGGGAAGCACTATCACAGTGACCATCTTGACACCCTGTATCGTAACGACCACGGAAGTAGCAGCGCACCAGTTTCTCGGCCCTGCGAGTTAAAAATTGGAGTGGACAAACCGCGGATCCTTCGCAGCCAGTCTCACCTCCAGCATCATATCGCCTTCACTCAATGTGGCGACCCGAGACAGCGAGAACAATATCAGCAGCAGCAGCAGTACTCCCCTACAGGAGGTTCACAGGGCCACTCTAGTGATAAAGATGCTTACAGCAGTGGTGGCAGCTATCCCCGAATGCACAGGACACTGTCTACTGAATCTGGTTTGCTACAGGCCCAGGTTAAACCCTGGAATGGGGTCAACAATGAGATGAGGAGCGTCCTTGCACGAAAGTCAGGGATTTGTGCAAAAGACTCTACTCTCGTGTGACATAAAATCAGATAAGCAGTTTGCATCAGTGGCTAGAAAAGACTAATGACCTACAAATACTATATGGTGACAACAACAAGTGACATTTCAGTGCAGATGTAATACTGTCAACATTCGACAAGTTTATCCAGAATGACCGCAGACAAAAGAAGAAAGAAGAAGGAAGAAAAAAAAAAAAGTATCTTTAGCAACTTTTTTCTCCATTTCTCCAACACAGGTTACAAAAGTATTATTAACCTGGCGGGGAAAAAAATGTAGTGCTTCACGTTAATGAATTTGATCTAAATTTCTAAATTATGCACACCAATGCCATCCATATATCAAGCTGATGAATTTATCGCTCATATTATAATCATGTAAATATTTTATTCTGCTGTATATAGCTGCTTTTTGCCAAATATGTGCACAATGTGCAGAGGTGTTTTGTTATGTGCTTTGTAAAATTATTTCACATAAATATTAAATAAATTGATTCTAGAACTATATATAATTCAAATAAGAACTTTTTGAACACACAAGCCTGTTATCTGAAAAGCTAATTTTACTAATTTCAGATACTAATAATGTAACGTCTGAAGGAACTACTAACCTTGGACACCTCTGTCTGTCATGAGGAAGTGGATGGGGCATGTGGAGCAGTGACAGTGGGGCTGGGACAGGGACTCACATCATTTAAGCTGCATGCAGTTGTCAGTGTGGGAGGAAAAAAAGGTGGAAAATAAAATAAAAACAGACAAATCAAACAGAAAGTATGATGCTTCTAGTAACTACAAAGTCTTCAGAAATGTCTGGATTACGATTTTGAAGTTGCAGGAGAAACAAACTTTAATGAAAAGCAACATATTAAATTATATATTACATTAGATGAAGGATACAATAAAATAAATAAAAAATAAAATAATAAATAAAATAAATAAAAACAAATGATGAACGATATGATGTAGTGCAAAAAAGTTAGGTAAATTGTAAATGGACTGGCACTTGCATGGTACCTTACAGTTCAATTTGAACACTGAAAGTGCTTTCTACTCCAAGTCTCATCACCCAACCACACACATATTCATACAGTGCTTTTATTTTTACTTAAGTGCTTTTAACTAACACACTGTAGGAGCCGTGGATGGATTCACCACCTTTCCATTTGGTAGCCAATCGTCTGACACCAGCTCTACCACCAGAGCCATGGTCACCCCAAATACGTAAAAAGAATGATCCTTTAGATACTGAGGGAGTAAAAATGTGAACATATAAAGACCCACAAGTATATTCTTTATAGCCTTAAGGACGTTGGAGATTTTATCAAAAAGTAATATTCTATAATTTTTGTGGCTTTACGTATTTACATTAAGTACTGATAACAGTAATTGTTCAGTGACCATCTCTCATTTTAAAAAATGTGAGAAGTGACATAAGCATAAGACAAAGCAAAAAACTTTGTTATATTACCTAGATATTTGAGTGATAAAGATGATAAAAAAACATATTGTAGAGATCTGCATTTTAGCAAAGGTGTGTATGATAATGGCTGTTGTCAAGCTTTCCTGTCCCTTATAGGCTCTGCATTTGAATAAAAGTTTCGGAATTTGAAACAAAAAAAAAAATAGATTGAGTCAGGTTATGTCCATGTAACATGTTTCTAGAGCAGTGGTTCTTAACCTGGGTTCGATCAAACCCTAGGGGTTCGGTGAGTCGGTCTCAGGGGTTTGGGCAGAGCCTCCACCGTGACATGCACGGCTCTTTTTGTGCACCAGTAAAAAACATATCTACGTCTTGAATTTGAAAAAAATCATATTTTATTTTTCACTAAAGAGGGGTTCAGTGAATTCGCATATGAAAATGGTGGGGTTCGGTACCTCCAACAAGGTTAAGAACCACTGCTCTAGAGGTAAAGCACAACTAAAAAATGAGAGGGAAAACTGCTACTAACGAGAAGATTAAAGCCACTTTGTAGCATTCAGTGTGATCAAAACAACGTTGTGCTTTTTCACCACCATGTCTCAGTGAACACATTCACTGCCGCCTCCTACCTGCGCCCTTGAGAATTATTAATCTGTTCCTTCATGCTGATGGCTTGACGGAGAAGACTGTCAATGTTTTTGAAATATAAGCTGCTGTTGTTCATGCTCTTCACGGCACTGCAAAAGCCAGCAGATCAATACAAGTATTAACAGTCAGGGCAGGTGGATGGTGAGCTACTTTTATGAAAGCTTTTAAATATGTGTGATCTCACCTGCATGCGTACTCTACAGTGTAGATGGCTCCTTGACTTTGTTCCTCCCAGCTCTGCATATCTGTCTGTGCGAGAAATGAAACCCATTAAAAATTCAGTAGAGTGAGAGAGAGAGCGAGCGAGCGAGTAATGACATTATGATACTTGTGAGGTTTGTGTTTCATTACAGTAAACTCCCAGAAAGTTGGTTCTGTCAGCTCTCTGGGATTTTCTTACCTGGGTTATTGAGCATACATCAAAACATTATGGGAAACTGTTCATATCATCAACATGTTTTTCCAGGAAAAAGAGCAGAACAAAGGATATGTTTTACCAACAACACAAAATAAATATTACTCAGTTTTAACTGAAGCAATGCCAGTTACATTTTTTCCATGAATCTAAGTATGTATCCAAGTCATGAATAAAACAAGACTGAGACACAGTGCTTGCTTTTAAATGCCTTTAAAATTAAAAGAAAAAGATGTTCTACTGTTATTTCTGATCGCACACAACACAGCAACACCTAGGCCAAGAATTTATATAGGGTATTTTAAAGGTTCACCTAGCTTTAAAATAGTTTATTTGGATTATTATGTTATTATATTAGAATTATATCAATGAAATAACACAGTCTTTTGATGTATAATTTTCTTTTTTTCCCCAGCTTCTCCCTTTAAGGGTTGGCATAGCTGATCACCTGTGTCCATTGCACCATATCGCTACCATACTCCTGTCACACCAACCCCCTGCATGTCCTCCTTCACGACATCCACTAACCACCTCTGAGGTCTTCCTCTTTTACTTCTTTCCATATTCAATACCCGTTGTTCAGTATATTCACTCTCTATCCGCTACACACATCCATCCATTTCATCCTTGCTTCCTGAATTGCTCAACCTGAGTTGTTTCTCAGATCTACTCATTTCTAATCCTCTCAGTAAAAATCTTAATATCTGCCTTTTTGTCACTGCCACCATATCCAAACCATACAACATAGTAGGACTTAGTACCCTTTCACTTTTGCTGTTATTCTTCTGCCACAAATCATCCATGACACTCATCTCAACCCTCTTCTACAACTCTCTTGTGCACTGTCCACTGCTTTGGATAGTTGGCCCGAAGGTATTTACACTCAGCCACCTTCACTACCTTTACTCTTTGCAGCTTTACTTTTTACATATATGAAAACATTCTTTAATTTGTTATTTACGGGACAATATATTTTGCAATGCAAGTCATTGTGACAGGCTTTCTTCATTATCAAAGTGGGTGACAGTTTCACAGAAAGGCCTTTGAGGCTTCAGTAAAAAAGGGTAGATAGTAAATTTGGAAATGAATATTTAATTGTGCAGGTGCAAATAAAAGAGGGGTCCAACCTGTAATAACCTGGAATACCTAATAAAGTGTCTGGTGAGGGTATATACCTAAAGAATATCACTTATCCCAAAGAAGACGTTTCAAAATCGGGTGTTATTCAGCCTTTAATGACTATGTAGGAGCCATATGAGTTGTTCCTATTTTGACTAAGTGGGTTGGTTTAAATTGGTATTGGTGCACAGGTGTGGGGCGTGCACTCACCTGATGTTAATGAGCAGAAAGGTAGGGTGAGAATGAGGCAAAACTTTCTGTTGACCGCAGCTTGAATGATTTTGATGTATTTTGACTGTAACTTGATGGTTTTTGTATATTTGTGCACTAATTGATGCCATAGGCCAAATTGTAAGTTGGCATTGTAATTAGTGCAGTTATTAGTGAGTTGCAGTTATTTGTTTGTGCAGTCTGTGCATTTGTCTAATAGTTAATCCCAGGCACTGATTTGTATATTGGACAGCTGCATGTGGAATAAAAGGAGCAAATGGTACAGAAGTGTATTTTATGTGTTTATTGTTGCGCGTCATCTGTGTCCTCATGTTTAGCCTGCCGCGGCCATAGGTTGGAGGAGCCGCAACAGACTAAATACAAATGCCATTTTTTCTTCTTCCTGAGAAAAGAACGTAAACACCACAACCTCTGATCTGCTGACGTCATCAGTTAGGTTTTTCCAAACATAAAGTTTCCTGGCAGAGGTTGTTTTCCCTTCATTCACTTAGATGTGTTACAAGCAGAGTTAATGCGATGTCACCGAGAGGATAAACGATACCTTGTGCTGGACTAGTTCTGGCAGCGACCTCCTGACGTGCTCCTGCAGCCTGTAGAGAGCCACCGACGGCTCGTTAGCCAGGACGTACATGCTCTCCGTGAACTTGTCAGTCACTGTAGTGTAAACGAAAGGAAGACAATAGCATAAAACAAATGGCCTGTGTTTGAAAGCTAAAACAAAATGATGAAAACAGCCAAAATCATAGCCCTGCTACTCTATACTGGAAATGCATTAGCTTAGTGGCTAGGTGAAGCTAACAGCTTCAAGGGGGCAGCAGTGAATCAAGACAACAATGAGCTATGCTGCACGCGAGTTTATTTTTTGCTAATTTATTTATTCTTACCCCTTCTGACTTTCAGTTGCATCTCCTGGTCCTCCATAATGCAGTCTGGTTTTTACTGTCAGAACTACAATTCAGCTGTACGCGAGCGGTGTCACCTGATTCCCACCTCTTCCGTATTATTGTTGTAGTGTGTCACAGGACAACATTCCGGATAGAAATATGGGCTGTGAAAAAATAAAGAAAACATTTCTCCCTTGAAATTGTGCCAGATGCGGTGATACGTTACACAGGCTGATTCAAACGTGTTTTCAGTGCCTGTTTTGAAAATAACGGGATTATTAAATAGCTAATCATCTGAACGACGGCTAATGTACTATCGGAACACATCGATGACTAGCAGGATCCATTATGTGATATGAACTTATTTACTTTCAGTTTTCCTTAAAGGAAGTTAGCGCAATTAGACTGGAAGGCTAAATGTGGTGAGTGGCTTTACGAACTGCCTAATTTTTAAAAAACTTTTTCTGCATGGCTAAACCAGATTATTTGTTTTTATTGCAGCGATCATGGAGGGCAGAGGTGATGATGAGGCTGCAGATGGCCAACGTATTCAGCCATCTAACGCTAATGCATGTGCCTCCCTATCAGGAGATGAAAAAGCCAATGGTACTTTATCCTGCTCTGTGTAACAGCTGAATTCGCCTGATTTCTAGGTTCTTGCTATAATCAGTTGAACAGTAAATGTCTTGCTTCCACTCACATGGCTGTGGTTCATCTGATTATATCTTTAGAGAGCATGGAGGTGGATGATGATTTGTTCAAACACTCCACCACTCTCACCAACAAACAGCGTGGGAATGAGGTTACAGTACGCCCGGCAACATTAGACTGTAAGATCTGATAAAGATACTCAAGTGTTAGGGAAACATTTGTACTTATTTATTTATTTATTTTTTTACCATGTTCATTTATTGAGATTTTTCTACCCCCATCAGCTCTGTCCATACATCAGCTGGCAGCTCAAGGTGAGGTTTCACAAGTAGCTGCACACTTGAGCAAAGGTGAGAAATCTCTAACAAGCTTTTTTTTTATTTTATTACCAGTATAAAACTAAACAAATATCCTACCTAAGGACTCCAATCCTATTTTCTTTCTTTCTTTGTTGTCTCACAGACAGCTCATTGCTTAGCAGTCAGGATGAGCGAGGCTTTACACCCCTCATGTGGGCAGCAGCGTTTGGAGAGAAAGCAGTGGTGGACTTTCTCTTGGAAAAGGTTAGAAATAAGGCATGCACATAGGTACTTAAGAACACAAAAGTTATAAGTTACTGAAGGGCAGCTGGGTGTCTCAGTGGTGTGGTGTTAGTGCTGTTGCTTCACAGCAAGAGGGTCCTGGAGTATTTTTGCAAGGCGTTTGTATATTCTCCATATGTCTGCGTGGGTTTTTTCTGGGCACTCCAGCTTCCCTCCCAGGCCGAAGACATGCATGTTTGGTTAATTAATGACTCTAGATTGGCCATATATAGGATTTATTTCTCACTGCAACAGACTGATGACATGTGAATAAGAAGATGAATGAGAGGCAGTGGTTTAAAAAAAACCCTTTTATTAATTAGAAAGAAAATGAACTTATTCTAAAATGTGTCCGTTAGAAGCCAAATTATCATACTGATGATAAAAAGTGTTAACAAAAATGGTTACTATTTTCAAATCTCAAAATGAATCATATTGTCTTTCAGCCCTACCTCTCTAACTTTGTTAAAGACAAAATTAGAGGGTGAAGACTTATATAGTTTAGACATGTGCAGAGGAGGGATAGTGGATATATTGGACAACGATGTTGAATATGGAGCTGCCAGGCAGGAGGAAAAGGCGACCACCTCAGAGGAGGCTCATGGATGTAGTGAGGGACGACATGCAGAGGGATGGCCGTTAGGGACAGGTTAAGATTCCCTTAAAGGGAACAGCCAAAAGAAGAAATGGTATCGTGCTTTATTGTTAATGCATGTTTTTTTTTTTCTTCCAGGGTGCAGACCCCAAAACAATTGCAAGGGAGCGAGAAAGCGCCCTGACACTGGCCAGCTCTGGAGGATATGTGGACATCGTTGAAGCCCTCCTCAGACATGGAGTGGACATTAACACTTATGACTGGGTATAGTTATGAATTTATGACTTTCCATCATAAAATCCATAATTTTTAAGGAGTAAGAAATCTAAATACTATATTTTTAACATTTTTATTTTACTGCACACTGTATATTATTCTCAGAATGGTGGAACTCCTCTTCTTTATGCTGTACGAGGGAACCATATCAAATGTGTAGAGGCATTGCTAGGTACAGTGCATGTCTTTAAGTTATTATATATTCTAGATTTTTTTTTTTTTATTTAAATTGCGTCACTAATTTCCTATTGCTCTCTAATTTAGCCAGAGGAGCAGATATGACCATAGAGTCTGACTCTGGATACAGTCCAATGGCGCTGGCAGTTGCCCTTGGGCATAAGAAAAGTAGGTATACAATGCACATTTTCTTTTTTGAAAAACTAAGATAAAAATGTGTTGCTAAGGTAAGATTTTTACTTCCTTTCTCCTATAGTCCAGAAAGTGTTGGAGGACCACATCTTGAAACTCTACAAGCCATCAACATGACACTTATTAAAATACATTAATGAAGTTGCCAGTGTGACACTCAGCTGATCTTAAACCTTTGTTGGTTTTCACAGAAATGTCTGTCACAAGCTAAGGTCATAATGGATCATTGCATACACAAACATTTACCAGATAAACAGCGATTTTTAACCTGTTTATTCCATTTATATGCGTTGCAATTTTCAAAACGTTTTACAAACAAGGACTGAAATGTGACAGTTGTGCAGCTGAATTATTTTGCTTGGCTGAAGAATGACCAAAAAAAAATTCTAATAAATTATTTTCATACTGGAATGGCGCTTTAATTTTGAAGGCACAGTAAAGGTACAAAAAAGCAGATTACAAGTGCACAATCAAAATGTGCAAAGGGTCACAGTATGACAGGTCATCGAAGCTTTCATACCAAAAAAGGCCACATTCACAAGAGTTCACGAGGTGGCAACACAGATGACATGTTTCCCAAGTGCCACCACACCATCCTACATCCTGTACTTTCACTCGGGGGTCACTTCCTCTCTCTCATGAGAGGACTGAAAAATGGTCAGGAGGCTTTTTCCCCCAGGACATCCAAGGAATAAACAATAATTCTCCCAAAAAAGTCAGCACTATTCTCAAACATTATTTTTACTTTGTCCACTACAGGGGCCTCCTGTATGGGAAAGCTGTGGGTGTGGAGTTAAGAACAAGATAAGCGTGGTAATGACGAAAAGCATGTCCAGGAAAATATTGTCCAATGCTTTTTATGAAGCAGGAAACGCACTATGCTCCTGTAGTGACAGGTACAGCTTTGAGCTGTTGTTGGCATGCACCAAGACTGATGTTTTATAATAGAATTACGTTTATTAAAGGAACACCATCAACTACTTGATAGAATAAGCTGAGGTTAAATATTTTTAATGGCATACAGCATCATCAGTGGCTGTGAACAATATTTTTTGCACAAATTAAATAGTTAAATATAACATTTATAGCTACTTCAGCAGTAACTGCTAATTTGGAGTATAGAAAAGAACAATGGCTCCCCACTTTACTGATAATTTAAGGAAAAGATTGGTCGAAGCCCTATATGCAATCAAATCTCCTTGTGAAAATTCAGTATAGTGAGAAAAAGGATATCTGAAGAGAGTTGTTATCCTCTGGGTAAAAATGGCTGAGCACTGTGAAGTCTTTATCTTTTAGGCAACCTGCAGAAAGCACAAGTGGAAAAGTAATTTACATTATCTCATTATTCCTGGTTGAATTTGAAGTGAAACATTTTAATCAGGAAGTCATTTTTTAAAATGTTATCTTCAGGATTTACCTTCCAGTCTGCACGTTTTTGCTGAGAATCCTCCCTGGAATTGGACCTTTAACTCTGACACTCTGACAGAGTTGGGGAACTCCAGGGACACCCACTGACATTCACCCTGTCAGAAAAATAATACTCATAATGACACTGAGATGTGTACAGCAAAACATCCATTTGCCTGTGAAAAACAGGATGCCGAGAATAACTGTCTCTGTCGCCAAGAATATGGGAACTTTTAGTCGTTCTTTAATCAGATCCCCACTAACTGTGGCCACAGCAACAACTATTCTTCCTGGGGTCCACAATGCTGTGCATGTAAGCAGATTATAATTATTTATAATTATTAATAACCTTTATTTAACCAGAAAAAAATAACTTGAGATCTGAATCTTTTTTACAAGAGTGTCTTGGTCAAGAAGGACAGAAGTACAATCATAAGTTGCATAAATTAATAGCACATACGAATCCTTTAATTAATTTATAAAAATATATATTAGATTATCATATTTTTTTTACTATAAATTCAACATGTTTTGGGCTTTTTCCTACACAAATCACAACATGCATTGACAAAGTTGGCATTTAATCATTTTATAGACAAAAGCATTTAAATAAGAAATATAAGAACATAGAAAGTTGGGAAATTCATCAAAAGTCAAGATAAAAATGATCATTTTGTAATTATGTTAAGTGTGCTGAATTGGAAATAATGCTGTGCAACACAAAATTTGGTATCGATCGGTTACCAAGTAAGTATAGGACCAGTACTGCTGATACCAATTACAATACACATAATCTATAAAGACAAGTTATGTAGGGGGAGAGCAGTGTGTGTGTCATAATTTATAAGATGAATCATCATCAAGTTGCCAAGTTTTAATGATCACTAAATCACTGGGATTTTTACTTACCACAATAATGAGTTAACACAATAAAACACAATGTTCACGATTTTGAAGAAGAAGCCAGATTGTTTGAAAGAAGTACAAGAGCCCATTTATGTCCACTGTAAACAAACCATCACTGAACAGAGGTGGTGGCTTATGACACCAACTGTCAGTCATCTACAATATAGCCTTGAGATCCCTTCTCACATGAAATGGTGGGGAAAGGTCTCACAGTGGTTTCACCCAAAACTTCTGGCGGTAATTACCCATGCCTTTTTTTTCACACCTTTGCTCATGTGATGATGCCCATGAATAACAGTGGGTCAATGACCACCTCCTAAGGGACAACTACTACTAGGATTTAAATACCAGGGA